TTTTATGCTATTGGAATGGTTTTGCGTCCGCCCGGAGTTAAATAACAAATATGCTCCGCATCCCACACAATTACTCAGCCTTTGCCCACCGCTATACCATGTCCCATACGATCCTGCCGTGTTTCCACGTGCTCGTCCTAGGTCCTAGAGGTAGCCTCGACGCGTCAATGCTCGCTTGAAGTGCCTCATCACGCGGTACTGCAGGCTGATCACGTGCAGATTAGCTCCGGCCGCTTGCTGACTGATACGTTCCGTCCGGCCGTCGATTTACGTCCGCTGACTCGGTCGCTTTGACGGAAACAAAGGGGAGTGATGACTGGGGAGTGGTAATACCAATGACTCACTGCGACGCGGGCCTCCGCCATTCCCGGAGATAATTAGTCACAAAGATATTCTTCCGGGTGACTTTGGAGCATCTGGCTGCGGAGCTAAATCATTTCGGTGATCTGCGCCTGCCTTGAGGACGTTAGAAGGTCCGGAATTAAATCCAGAACCCTTCGTCGGTTACTTGTCGCATAAGAGGTTCGACAGGTGGTGTCGAATAAACTTTGGAGGGGATGTATGGTGTGTCAAATTCGCAATTTCGGGGGTCAGAAGATCGCTGGGGCTTATCAGCGGTGATCCTCTGAACATCATATTCCCATACCTCCCTATGCTCACCAGGTTCGTATCGTGCAGTACCTCACCGCAGCAATAGCTTATGACTGGCAAGTCAGGATCACTATTTTACGTTACCTTCAAGAGATTCACCGTTGTGGCATTATACACGAAGATTTTCGGGAGTGTGATGTGGTGCTCCGCGATGGGAGCCCCCGTATCATTGACTTCGGCCAGGTGTCCCTGCACAAAGGTGGGTGCAATATGGAGATATGCAAGCTTCCATCAGTTCCACGTGGCAGTGAAGTGGACTGCAACGACATCTACTGCTACTGCTGTGACTTCAATATATGGGGCAGTACGTTATTGAATGTCTTGTTCTTGAGGCTCGTACTCACTGACTCCATAGACTTTGTCATCATTGGGAGATCCCCGTATCCTCTGGAACGTCTTCCTCCGCAGGAAGTCATTGACACACTCATTCCAAGTATGTTTGTCCATCTCAGGGACAATGCAAAACGGTCTCTTCTGCTTGATCGCCTCCGCGAAATTAAGGAAGAACTCGAGAAGGGGGTCGAACTGGAAGCTATCGACTTTGATATTGTTTTCATTCTTGGGCGCCCTTTCCAACCAGCCTCAAACTATCTGCCTCAGGACGTCATCAACGATCTGCTGCATGTCTTCAAGCCATACAATGTTACCCCAGAGCAAGTGGAGAGTGTTGCCTATGTTTTGCAAAAAATGAAGGTCGCTGGTTCTGTGACAACTCAGATGATCAGAGAGACTTGTCAGTAGAGGGCCATTGCTATGCATGGCAGGACACGAGTCCTGAGTTGTGTCTGATAAGTGTTAGCATTGGGTGTATAAATGTTCCAATTGATGTATACAGTACTCTTTCTTATGCACATATTGAAATCCCTTAGATCTGTATCTGCAATCTCACCTTCATTCATACTTTCAAGTTGTCCTCCTGTGGCTCTGCCATCATTGTACCATGAAAGTCCCTGCCTCTGACAGATTAAAAGTTGGTCTGTATTGGTGGCTACAAAAAGACTACGAAATTGTATTTGTACCCAGCCCAAGGGACAGTAGCAGCTCCACTACTAGACACAAATAACATAGATCAAAGTGTTCCTCTGCTGCCAATCTTTGATTGGCAGCTCTGTGACACAGGTCTTTTGTCCCCAGTGGAAGAGATAGTCAATAATACCTGCAGACTCCAGGTAACATCCTACCAGAACCAGAGTGCTCATCCACTGCCAATCTTCGATTGGCAGCTCCCTTGCATTCATTTTCCCAAACCAAGCTGAAGGACAGTCATCAGAAAAGGTACTCAAACAGTACTCCAAGAAGCTGGGAGCAGAAATGAAATATATATTACACATGTACTAGCTTCAATTTCTCAAGGGGGCATATAGATACCACCGAGTGGAAGAAATCAGGGGTCCGGAGGCAGCAGAGATTGAGAAACACAGGCCCAAGATGCCTGTGACTGAAGAAATTGTATCATAGTCCCTGCCACCCACACATAGACTCAGATTATGTGTGTGAAAAACAATCCATCAAACTATTCAGCAGTCAGCATATTATTTCAGAACACAAGTGCAACATTCAAGAACCTCTTATAGCCAACATAAGATCAATGTGTATGTACCAGTAATGATTGGATTAAAAGGAAGCACAGCCCACCAAGTTGACATGCTTCAACTGCTGCAAGTACTAGACTAATGAGCGAGTGGGCAACTATGACATCACTCAACTACAGAAATGTGCTTTCTGCAGTCAAGCTATGTCATAGTAGGCAGGAGCCAATGAGAAGCCAGAGATCCCAACCGGCGCGGCACCTCAGCCACCGACTACAAACAGCCACAGAAGTCAATTCCCACGGTAACAACATGCCATGCATGACCAAGAGCATGCAGTCAAGGAAGGAGATACGATTAAATGCTCAAAATATTCAGTAGACAGATAACCCAAAAATACCTCTTCATAGAAGAAACTATGGAAATACATGAACAACTCAAGACAAAAGCACAGTGTGATTGCAAACAGACACTACAAATCCGATTTTGTAGTCTTTTTGTAGTCTCCAATACAAGCGGACTTTAAAGCGGACATCAAACAGTGTAGTCAAAACTATCACCAAAAAGTCTCACGCATTCTCGGCATTGCGATTCCCATGGGGTACAACGTTCGGCACGCACCCAATTTTGCGGGTAAGGACTCATCCTTCGTAAACTCAGGACTCGTAACCTATGTATCACTAACAGATATCAAAGGTCCGACATCATCCCGCATTGGGTGAACTAAGGCTTTGGAACTCGGATGGTGTGGAAACAAGTCACATATGAGACAGTTTGCATCGCCAGTTGACCATGCATCTTCACCTGACGATGCAACTTGGACCATCCTCTCATCAAATGTGTCTTCTTCCACACTGATACTCATCCACGTCTGCCTTGGGAATACCATGCTCCCCGGGCTGGGACTACAACAGCAATATCATGATGCTATCGGGAAATGACCTAGCATCGAAAGATGACACAGCCTACCGATGCAACACTGGATGCTGGTGTCGTTGGTTATCTATTCCCTGGCCTCCCAGCGATAGCATCCTCCCCCACCGTTTGCTTCCTGAGATGTCGTCTGTAGCAGGCGGCCTGGATCTCCAATGTGGAACCCTGGTATCGCCATGCAGGGCTATGCGCAGCTTAGTGTTCAGTCTCTTCTCCATGGTAATCTACGAGTATCTTTGTACATTCGACATGGAGGTAAGGACGCCTGTGGAGATTTTTCGCCTCGTGCTCGACGTCCTACTAGGTTGCCTATTTCTGGACTTGGAAGGACCGGGTGAAGCTCTCTCAAATCCTTTTCTTTTGGGTACGTCTACCACACCAATGGAGTACTGCTGTTCTGAACGCGCGTCGTTCTTGGCTCAGAACCGATATGCGAACATACTAGTTGCTATGTATGCGTAGTGTTTTCAGTACTTGCACATCTACTTAAGAATCTTCATTTCAGCTTGAATTTGTATGGTCAGTACTGACTGCTCGTGTAGCTAGTTCTCGAAAGTTGAGCGATTCGCAGCTGCCTGGTCGCTTGATATCACCGAACAGGTAAGCCACTGTTTATCTCAGGATAGAAAACGTATTAAGTAGACCTCAGCTGTGAGGAACACACAAGTTTGGCGGCAATCACTGAGGACTGAGTAAGGACTGTCAGAATGGACCTCATCACTACGTTGGCCACGTTGAGTCTAGTGAATATTGAAGGTCTAGTCCATACATCCCTCCGTCGCCAACAAAAGCTTGACTTTCTTTGATGCGATTTAGTGATGCAGGCACTCCGTCTGTGGCACCTTTTCTCGCACTGCAGGCCGGTACAGTATCTGCTCGTCGTCCTCAGCATCGGCTACTTTGCAGCTCAGTGGACCATCGTCATCCGAATTCTCAAGGGCATGAGCTACACGTCTCTTGCAGCCTCGCAATGGTTCCCGTCCCTTGCTGTCCACTCGGCCCTCTACCTGCTGACAATCCTGCGGGCGTTTTCGCCTCGCCCGCCGGACGCGGAGGGCAAGCATCTTATCAGATGGATCCTCCGACAGTACGTTGTGTTCGTCCTGTCTCCCGGTGGATGGATCTTCCTAACCTCGCTCGTCGCAGGGGCGGGCTGTTGGCTTCTGTTGCTTTCGGTAGTTACTCCAGGTGCAGCGTCTCCACCTCTTTACTTACTTCCGTGTTTTGAGCCGCCGTCTTGTACAACACGATTGGCGCCCTCAGTGGCAACCCCAACGTATGTTTGCCATATACCTTTTCCTTCTTACTTTCCTGATAGTTCGCCAGGTAAGCATGCCGGCGAAGTTCGGCGGGTGCGTGTTAGTTGCGCTGCCCGCACATGTCACTTATCACATCCTACCCTAGCATCATGCTCTCCGTCATGTCAGTCACCATGAGCCGCCTCATGTTCAACATCCACAAGTTTTCCGATGCCCTGGGCACGGAACCCAAGCTGCTCCTCAGCCACCTGGAGATGAGCCGGATACGCATGCGCAGCACCAAGGGCATGCGCGAGGGCGAGCTGCTCGTCGAGGTCGATAACGTCGGCCCGGAGGAGTACGAGCTGTCCCAGGCGCATACAGATGCGTCGAGCGGCGAGACTCTGGAGGTCCTGCCGTCGATAGAAAGATACCAAGAGGTTGTCGATAGCGAGGCGGGTCAGGCATCGAAGTTCGTTGAGAACCTGCGTTGTAGTGGTATGTCGGGCGGGACCTTCGCTCATGAGGCTTGACACGGGGGTCGGTTCTTTCGACGACCAAACATGTAACCAGTTATATTATTGTACCTGGAGGAAACGAAAATTTGCTTTGCTGGTACCGAGCTCATTCCGGCGACGGTATCTTGACCCTTTTGACGACGATGGCATTATATCAAGGGATCGAATACAAAGAAAAGACGTAATGATACAGAGCAAGATCGCAGAGCAAGATCGCACCCACAGCCCACCAATCCGATCGCCGATCGTACACCCGCTCACTTTCTCGCGAACGTAATCTACAACGACAGACATATCATAAATAAACGCACACGTGAAGTTGTCCGGCGAACATAAACACACCTTGATCTTATTCTCTCCGTCGAGCTTGTAATTATGCAGCGCGTCCTTGGCGACGGTCGCGCTGGCCTCGTCCATGTACTCGACGAAGGCGATGTCCTTCTTTGTCGGGATGAGACGCACTTCGTATAGGTTGGGGTATCTACGCAATGATCGTAAGCGACTATTACCCCGAAAAACTTTGGCAAGAGGAGGGCAGTGGGAACGTACTGCGAGAATAGCGCCAAGAGCTGGTCTTTCGTGACGCTTTCGGGGAGGTTCTGCAGGAAGAGAATTTTGTTCGGGGGGAGGTACTCGTCGGGCATCTGGATATGCGGGCGGCGGGATACGGGGACGGCTGCAGCCGCGTCCGCTACACAAGCATGCACCGCTCAATCAATCGAACCAATGAGAGGAACAGGCACTTACCTTCTGCTGCCGCGCGCTTGGCCTTGAACTTCATCTTCAAAGGGTTCGTGTAGCGAGTCTTTTCTGAATACCGAGGCGAGAGAGGGTGAGCGTCAGGGAGTCGGGGAAGCTAAAGCCAGAACGCACTTTTGTGTTCTAACCGCCTCGCCTTGTGCACGTCCAACTCGTTCGGATGCTGCTTCTTCACAACCGCATCTGACGGCGTCCGCGCAAACGAAATTTGCTATACCCGGCAGCAAACGTAGGGAAATTAGAAAGATATGGGCACGGGACAGCCTGCAACGAAACGCACCATGGGTTTGCCGTAGAGCGGGAACCCTCGTACCTCCTTCAACGCCTTCGCAGCAATATCCGCGGACGGGAACGACACGAACGCTTGCCCCCGCATGCGCAGGTTCCCGTGTGCGACAACGTCGAGCACTTCGCCGTACGACTTGAACAGCCCACGCAGGGAGGCCTTGAGCACTGTCCGCACCTCTGATCAGTAGTTGATCAGAAGGAAATAGAACAATAAGAACGGACCGGGAATCTTGATCTTCTCATTCAAGTTCTGGATGTAGAGTGTTTCTGTAGCTACTGGCTGTGGAGGGGCGGCGGCTTCGGTCGTGCCGTTAGTGGCGGGTGCTCCGTTCGTCGCAGGGGCCTCTGTTGAGACAACGCCTTCCATGGCGCCATCGGCGGCGGGAGGAGGGGGTGCTGGTGCTGCTGTAGTGTCGGCCATGAATGTAGGTCAGGGAGGTGGTGGCTGAAGCCAGAAATGCAATTATCTCCAGGCGCGACGCAAGTTACGCAACTTGTCCTTGCTCTTACCACCACCGATTGCTGCGCCGACGCTGCATATTTGACGGTGACCAGGATCATCACTTTATACTCGTTGTCACCCATTACTGGCGGGCGTTGCAGCTTGGGGCTGTGGAATAATACCTTACGAAAGGAGCGCGAAGCCGGAAAGGTCGGATGGTACCAATGCTTCTCCTCTGTCCGTTGTCCATAATTTATACAGATTTCCTCAACTATAGGAAGGGACATTTCAGCAAAGAACGAAGCCCTCTGCGGCCTTTACGCCCGAACTAAATCATGGCTGAACAGTTCGAACTGCCAGAGGTCGCGTCGACCGCAGAGGCAACGTCCGAGGCGAGTATAGCCTCAGTCGCTAGTCTAGCAGAGATACTCTCGTCGACGGCGGACCCGGCTGCCTCGAAAGTCTCCTTCTCGTCACCCCCAGCAACCGCCTACCTCTCCCACCTCACGACTCTCCCGCTCGACACACTCCTCTCCGAACCCACCACCCTCTCCTCCACCTCCGCCCAGCTGACGAACGCCCTCACCACGCTCTGCAACACCAACTACCGCACCTTCCTCTCCCTGCACCGCACGAACACCACCCTCTCCACCACCCTCGCCTCTGTCACCGCCTCCCTCTCGTCCCTCCTCTCCTCCTCGCTCCCGGAGCTCGAAGCGAGCACGCGTGCGTTCAGTGGCACGAGCAAAGCCGTGCAGGACGAGCGGCGCACAGCCGCCGCCGTGCGCGAGCAGCACGACAAGCTGCGCGACCTGCTCGAGATCCCCGCGCTCGCCGACGCGTGCGTGCGCGGGGGGCACTTCGCCGAGGCGCTCGCGCTCGCCGCACACACGCGCGCGCTGCCCAACGTCCCCATTGTCGCGGACGTCCAGGCCGAGGTCGACGCCGCCCTCCGCGGGATGCTCGCGCAGCTGCTCGCGGCGCTGCGCGAGCAGGCGAAGCTCCCCGCGCTCTTCAAGGCCGCGAGCTTCCTGCGGCGCATGGGCGTGCTCGCGGAGGACGAGCTCGCGCTCGCGTTCCTCGCGAGCCGCGCGGCGTACCTCGACGCGTCGTTCGCGGCGGTTGAGGCGGCGCGCACGGGCGAGCGGGAGGCGCACGCGCGGTTCCTCAAGCGGTACGTCGACGCGTGGCGCGAGGGCGTGCACGACCTCGTCACGCAGTACACGGCCATCTTCCTCGAGCGCACGCCGCCGCCGCCGCCCGTCGTGCGCGCGCTCCTGACCACGCTCGCTGCGGGCCTCGTCGAGCGCCTGCTCGACACGCTGCGGAGCAATGTGCGTTATCTGCGCGGCGACCCCGCGGCGCTCGCGTCGCTGCTCACGCAGCTGACGTACTGCGCGGCGTCGTTCGCGCGTGTCGGGATGGACTTTGGCGCGCACCTCGCGCCGATATTCTACAACGAGGTCCGGGCGGGCGTGACTGAGGCTTTCAGTGAGGCGTCCGCATCGTTCGTAGATGCTATCAAGAATACTGGTACCAAGAGCCCTAGCGAGGTCCTAATTACCCCATCGTCGGGGTCGAACCCGCCCGTGCCCCCGCGAGACTACTCGGTCGAGTCCTCCCCGCCGCACGTCGCCCCGCACATCCTGACGTCGTACCCGCCGCTGGCGCTGTACACCAACGCGCTCCTCACGGCGCTGAACGGCCTGCGCCTGCTCGCGCCGCAGGACCTGCTGGGCGACGCCGTGGAGGCGCTGGATGCGTCGCTCGTGGCGAGCGCCGAGGCGCTTCTCCAAATTAACGGGGAGGGGGAAGAGAAGGGGTTGGTGGGCGCCGCAAGGCAGGTGTTTGGGACAGTGTTTGTGCCGTTTGTGAGGCGCGCGCTGGTGGAGGGGGTTTATGGTGTTCGGGTGGAGGGCGCGTGGGTGCCGGGCGGGCGGTTGGGGGAGGTGCTGGATCGGATGGGGGAGGCTTAGGCGTCTAGGGATATTGACAGGACCTCTCGAATCCAGCGCGATACATGCAGTGACATTGGTACCACAGCGAATCCGGAGTGTATATACAGCAGGAGTAGCGCTGCAGGGGGGGGACATTACAGACCCTGGAATCTCTTACTGCCGGGGCTGGGAAGGAGTCTGGTCCCAACCGGGCTTGTACTTCCACCCTCTAGCGTGGGAGTCGCCGACGAGCTCGTTTCCCTCACGATTCCTCTAGCCATTGAGCCCGTTTGTGATATCCATCGGCGTGAAGCCATACTCTCTCCTCTACGATGCTGCCGTTGCCGCCGCAGATGCTGTACAGAGTATCTTGGACGATGCGGGGCTCCCTACTATCGAGGTAGCTCTCGTTGAGTCCGTTGTCACTCGTCCCGTCGCTGGTCCTAGTCTCCTCCCATTCGACCCCGTTGCCGACCCTTTCCCGGAACTGCGGAAGCCCTTTACCAGCACCCTTGGTCTCGCCATCGCAAGCCTCTAGCAACCCAGCTACGAGGGCACAGGCGCCTTGTACTATCGCCCCAGCAAAGATGACAACCGGGTCGCCATCCTGACCTGCGCCCACGTCGCCCGTCCCCTTTCTGTCTACCCCAGCAGGAGTATGAAACACATAGGCCAAGCTCGTGAGGAGATCATTGCACTGGGCTGCGAGAGTTTTGACAGTGCTGTTAACGACATATCTCGGAGAATCAACCATCTCACCAACACCATCGAATTATGGACGACAATACTCAAGACGCTGGGAGATCCAATCGAGGGGGAAAAGGTCACGAAGACTCGGAGACGGAAGGAGCTCGAGGAGCTGATACAGCACGCGAAGAACGGCATTGTGGACGTGAATGTGCTTCAAGCTGAGGCCACTCGGCACTGCACGCCTGACCAGCGAGTTATTGGTTGAGCTGTATGACCATAAGATCGACTGATCCAGTTTCAAGGGTAACCGGATTTCCATTGGTACATCTTTTTTGCCCTACCTCATTCCCGTATCTCGTTCCTTTCTCCTGCTTGTCTCAAGCTCAAGCTGATAGTTGTCGTTTTGCTCCCACAGGCGGCAATATGGACATTCTCCAGTTTTGCGACACTATGTTCCCTCAGCCGGCGGATCGAGCCAACTACAGCTACCCCGAGGATGGCCTCCTCCTCCAGGCCTATGGCGTCGTCCAGGATGCCGAGATCCGCAACCCCCAGCATCTTGACATCCACAACGAGAGATGCCTGCTTGTGGTGAAGAATCGGCGGACCACGGGGACCACCGCTGGCCGCGTCAACGGTCTCGAGTCATTCGTCCGTCACTACGACGACAACATCCAGCATGCTTCGACCTCGATCGCTGTCTACCACTACGGCAAGGACCACGGCACGTTTTCTGAAGCGGGTGATTCTGGGGCCATCGTCCTTGCTAGGGATGGCCTCCTTGCTGGCGGTGCAGGCTCTAGCGCTCGGACGGACATCTCGTATACTACCCCTTACTGGTGGCTCGAAGCTCGGATCAAGGCAAGATTCCCTGGCTGCTTCCTCTATGACGTCGTCGAGTAGGCTATGTCGCAAGCTCGAGAAAGATGACAAGTTGAACGCATGCGCGAGGGTCTGGTATCAGTGGTGGATGTTCTCATCTTTCCTGGGCTCGCTTTGTCTCGTGCCATGTATATTACCCGTGGCGCCCTGTATACTGTATCACACTTCATTCTCCAGATGTCTCGCAATGCTATGGCTCGGCGACGCGTATATGTAAGGGATGGGTTTGACCTGATGCCGGAGGGCGTTCGCTGTCAATGGTCTCGTGAGGGGAGACAAATTGTGCGCAATGTAAGGGATCCGTGAGCGTGCCACCGACTCAAGGCAGGGGGGTGCGGTCCCGGGAGCTGAGCGCATCGATGAAGGGGGATCGTCACCTGACTGATAGTAGTCGTTTGGGGTATATACGTATGCGTGCTTGTATATGCCGGCGGGTGGATCAGTGGAGGTGTATATCCTGCTTTGTCGTTATGGTATATGGTGAGCGCTTGACCTTGGACCTCGAATCGTGATTTTAATATTGGCTGACACGGTGCCAGTGAAGGGTGATGCATGCGGTACGTCCAGGCAATGACATCGGTACCACAGCAGACCCGGAATGTAAGTATATACGACACAAGTAGCGCTCGCGTTCGATTCAGAGCTGCGGGGGATATTACAGGAATAAGGGCTGACCCTGACCCTACCACCGCTGCCCTGAATAATTGATCTGATTTGCATCTACGTACTACATAGCCTATTGTCTGCAGGGGCCCGAAACGGCCGGACAATGTACCTTCGAGATGGGATGTGGGATGTGCCACATCTGTGGCGTTTAATTCCCTGGGATCTCGTCTCACGTTTATAACACGCGAAACGCCTTGTATTTCATCTCGGTGCTGTGGCCTGGCGACGAGATGCAGATGCGTTTGATCGCCGGGACGTAAGGGATGGTTTGGGAGGGATACAGGAGGTCTCGTGAGAGGAGACAAATTGTGCGCAACGTAAGGGATTCATGATCAGGAGCATAAATTAACGCCACCGACTCGAGGCAGGGTCCCGGAGCTGTGCATGAATGTACAAGTAATAGGACGCTATGACAGGGCGAGTGGAGGGGAAGCGGTCGGCGTGCCAGTGTACGTATCCACCTTGTCCTCGCTCAAGCCCAGGACCCCCGAAAACGTATCGCGATACGTTTTGAATGGATTCCTCCAGGCCGGCGAGTGATTTGCCAGAGGAAATGTGGAGCCCCGAATGGAACAAGGACGCCGTCGCAGGATCGCTCACCTTTGGCAAGCGTCGAGTCCGGCGCCGTCGGGACATCTGCTCCCAAGCTCCGCCCACGACTGGGGCGCCCGGTCCGCAATATAGACGCATCGGGCGCACCATTGCAGGTGACAACGTCGGGGCCGGCCCTGATTCGCACTCATGCATCGCCCGCCCATCGGCCACGCCTATCAGCGCGAGTTTACAGTAGTCTGAGGTAAAATGCGGGACACGGCGCAGAGACACTTAAGTCATGTCTCGCGCCCCAGTGACTCGGCGGTGAGAACCTCGCGGCGATGGTTGCCGTAAACAAAAAGAGCGAGACAAAAAGCTTTCGAGAATATCCGAAGGGCCTGCGCCATCGGCCAGGCGACTGGAAATTGCTGATGGATGCCGATAGCGACTCGTATAAAGGTTCAGTGGACGGGCGCATTGTGTGTGTAGTCCCCCTGCAAAGTCGCGCGTTGCGGACGCGAATCTGCGCGGACCCACAGCAGCCCACAGCGGTGTCCCCGGAAAAGGCAGCGGCGAGCCGGGACAGCGGGCAGCACAAAGTCTAAATCTGGCGCGCGGGCTTCTCACAATCTCCAGATCCGGTTTCACTTTGCGCTTGACTGGCCTCGCGGAGGCGGTCATAATTGCATATACGCCCGCGCATATAAGGCCCTGCCCGTCCCCGTCGTCGCATGTTCCCCCTCGCCGCCCACAACAGCGACCTCGAGCGTTTCGCCGTCGAGGGCGCCCTCGCCACCGCCTCTTTCGTCCTCTCAAACATGGGTTTGCTGAACTTCAAGCCGTTCGCGGCCCACAACAGGGCGAGTAATTATGCGCTCTTCGACTCTGCTCGTTATTCACCCATCGCGCAGGCCATCGCCCACGACATCCAGCTCGACCTCAAGGCGCCCGCCCCCGCACGACGACCGCGCCACCCGCGTCCACAGCGCCGCGCCGTGCCCCTCCCCGCCGAGATCATCCTGCACATCCTCGAGGCCGCCTACTTCAGCGACGCGCTCGAGCCCGACGACGCCCTCCTGCGCTCCTGCGCGCTCGTCTGCCGCGCCTGGGCGGGCCCCGCGCAGAAGCTCCTCTTCCGCAGCGTCACCCTCCGCAGCGAGGCCGCCTTCGCGTCCTTCCGGAGCGCGCTCGATATGTCCTGCGAGCGCGGACGCGCCCTCGCCGAGAGCGTCACGCGCCTGCGCGCCGTGCTCGACTACAACCAGCCGGGCCACCTCTCCGAGACGTCCTTCGCACGCGCGGTCGCCGCCTGTCCGAAGCTGTACGAACTCGGCCTGCATATCTACGGCCGCGGCCCGCCGGGCGACGGCGATCCTTCGAATGGTGCCCCCTCGTTCAATCGGACCACGCTCGCGCTCCTCCGCCGCGCCGGCCCGCGCATCGCCGCGCTGCACTTCAGCAACGCGAGCGCGGACAGCGCGCACCTCTTCCAGCTGCTCGCCCTCTGCCCGTCCCTGCACTCCCTCTCCGTGCGCGGCGTGCCGCCGCACCTCCCGCCCGACGCCCCGCTCGCCTTCGCCAGCGCGCTGCACGCGCTGCACATGGACTTCCAGAGCAAGCCGTCGACGGACTTCCTCAACTGGCTGCTCCAAAACTCGGCGAGGAGTCTGAGAGTATTGGAGTTCGCGCGCGAGCCGAGCACGGATATGCTCGCGCACCTCGTGGGCCGGCACGCGCAGGCGCTGCAGAGCCTCGCGCTCCCGAGCTGCGGGAGCCGCGAGGCCGCCGCGGTCGTGCGGGCCTGCACGCACCTGAAGGAGTTCCGCGTCGAGCACGCGCGGGGCGCGCCGGCAGTGTGGAAAGCCCTGCCGGAGGGGATTCAGCATATCGCGCTCGGCGTGGACGCCGAGGCGCAGTTGGAGGCGGTGCTGGGCGTGGTGAAGGAAAGGGAGGAGCTCGAGGTGGTGACGCTCCAGATGTGGGAGGGCGGCGCGGCGCACCCTGCGCTGCCGAGTCTGCGGATGGAGTGCGCGACGCGCGGGATTGAGCTGAGGATCACGAGGGACGTGCGGGTGTTCCGGACGATGGTGGTGAGTGTATGCGTGTTATTCTCCCGCTTGCTTCGTGTGCTGACGTTCACCGTTTGCTAGCGCGGTGATCCCGTTCCTACAGACTCCTTCCCGAGGACCAAGTCCCTCTCCCGACCTCCGCTCATCCAACCGAGCTTGTAAAACCACCTCCGCCGATCTCCTGTCTTACTCTATTCCCAGCTAACGACCGTCCTTCACATCATCACGCTATCGCATCGATCCATCCATTCATATCAAGCCCGCAGCATACATATACAATAACACTCCATTCCACATCGACATCGCTGTCGCTATATCAGTATCATCATCGCATTCAGTATTCAATCTTCAGCTTCATTTACGACTCTTCATGACGCCCGTTCCTTCCCAACCAATGATCTACCTATTTATGGTCGGCGATTATCTGTTTGGCCTTAACGAGCGGGTTATTCGAGTATAATCGCTGGTTGCTAGCGTGTGCTTTGTCTTTTCACGAGCGAGGGTTATTCGAGTATAATGGACATGTGTTTTCGACTGCGTCGGACGCTGCGGTAGATTATCGCGTTGCTTATTTGTCGTGGCACAGTGCTCCCTGGTCTCTAATGCAATCCGTGGGCCTGCATGACATGAATGTGAGGTTACACTGCGAAGGTTCCGTATTTTGACCGCCCTTGTAAGAATAGTCAATGTGTCGCCGGTCTTAAACAACGATCCCCCCATCCTCCACCGTCTCCACCAAATACGCCTCGTCCTCCTCGTCCCCCAACACGCCCGCCGGCGCCGTCACCACGCGTATCTTCGTCGTCGGGTCGAGCCACATCGACGCCTTCCTCTTCAGCTCCCCGCCCGCGCACGCGGCGTCCACCTCGACCCAGCGCTCGCCGCGGCGCGCGCCCTGCGTCCAGCGAACGCGGCTCATCTCGAGGTTGGAGAGGATCCACGCGGGGTCGGTCCCCAGGAAGGCGGAGAGCGAGCGGATGTTGAACATGAGGCGGGACATCGCCGCGGAGGTCGCGGAGAGCATTAGCCTGGGGGTTGGTCGGTTCTAGATGTATCAGATACTTGGGAAGCGAGGGGACGTACGGGGAGAAGCGGGCGGGGATGGATATCTGTGAAGGGCGAGCGTAAGTGCCTTGGTCGCGCGGTGGATAGGATATGTAGCGCACAAGGGGGTTGGTGGACAGCGAGCCGGCCGTTGTGAATACAGTCGTTGCGAACGTCACAGAGAAAATCAACGTGCCCCTGTAAGTCGTAAGGCTGGGCCAAAGGACCCATACGCTCAGCCTGGTACGCACTCTCGCAGGACTCTGTTCCGCAGCCACTTCCCGTCCGCCGAGCGCTCCCTCGGGACGAAAGCGCGCACGATAGTCAAGATGTAAAGTATACTGTGGGTCACCAGGGCTGGTACCCACGTTTTGCCGTCGTAGAAGTGCAAAGGTCCCCCTGCGGCGTGCAGGTAGCTGGCGATTAGGGCCCATTGGACGACGTTGTAGACCACCGAGAGGAAGACTATGCCCCATTTGACATAGGATGCGGAGGTGTACATGTGCCAGAGACGGATGGCGTGCATGACTGAAATCACAGATATATTAGTACCCGGGTGGCGGAGGTGGCAGCAGGAAGAAGGGATACCTTCAGTCGTGGTCATACCCAGCCCGAAGAGTATAGCCATGGATTCGATACTTCAGCGAGGTCAGTGTATTTGACAAGCAAAATAATCCATCGACGACGCCTCACATCTGCGCAAGTTTCCAACCAGATTAATCCGAACTTCAGAGTGAATTCGTACGACGTACAGTATCTGAGGCTGACCCCATAGACAAGACTGTTGAAATACCATGGGCAGTTAATCCGATTGCAATTGCTCATGAGCTCTATACCTACCATAAAAGATGAGACTGTCCGAAGATCAACAATTGACTCGAGAGACAGCAAGATATCGACTGACCCCGTAACAGACAAAGGAATGTATCGATTCTTCGAGGATAGATATCATTCCAATGATACCACTCTTAAGATACGAACCACTGACTAAAAGAAAGAGAACGCGGGATAGCGACCACGCTCCGCACCAGAAGAACTCAAGCTAGGCACACGACATGAAGTACAGGGCGATATGCAAGCAAGACCCGGAACGCTCACCTCCATATCCAGGGTAATCAAGTACTCCCATATAGTCATAGACAGCACACCAACGGCGAGGTATAAGGCATTTGTATCACCAATTACTGCTTGTTCCAAAGGAGCATCCATTTCATGACGGTGGAGGGAGGAAGGAGATAGAGCACCGACCCCAACGCCGACTTAACTCCCTTAAGTCTGCGATTATTTCAGGAGATCCGGAATCTTTGATTGATCGTCAGAGCATAAGACGATGTCTTCCAAGCGAACGTGAGCACTCGTCGCCAGGTCATACTGCACGTCGTGAACCTCCCAATTGCAGCTGATGAGGTATATTGCATCGAGGTTGCATTATCCATCCTGGTGGTAAGAGAAGGGGTTTTTCGTTGTCAGGCCTGACACCGTATATGCGTGGACAGCCTGGGCCGAGCATATGCGTTTCATGTCGATAAAATCATGATGCAAACGATATCATTAAGTGTGGTCAATTGTAGCCGCATATAGGGAGCCCATACCTCTATGATGGACGCTGCTGGGTTCCAAATACGTCCGAGCGTCTTGATTGACAGATCGGAGACAAGAAGAAATTCCAGTTTTCAGTAATGCTGGGTTTATCAATAAGCACGCCCCCGACAGCTCTGAACTCGCGGGCCACTTACAAGCAGGATCAAACATCTGAATGTAAGCAACAGACTCGCAGGTTAGGGGCTTCAGCCAGGCATCTACATAGTGTACAATAACATTGAATCAGGACTCGTCGTGGCCCGTCTTACAATCAATCATCCGTCAGTGACGACAGAGTATAGCTGACTTCACAGAATCTTTTGCAATGCCCTTGGTCTCACGAGCACCAACCACACTGTCAATAGTCCGACAAGTCCTGGAGACCAGTCTAAGGTTTGGTGCAAAGGGTCCAGGGCCGGACCTTCTCGATACGTCGCGTCGGACCTGTGGCTGACCGCAGCCGCTGGTTATCAGCGCTTCTGACTTCAGCCTTGATCGTAAGTCTCAACCGACAACAGGATATACATACGAGGACTGAATTATCCGCTTGACTTACCCAGTATCGACTGAACTACGTATCATGGCATCCCCCCTTTGGTTGCGCGCGTTGCACAAGACTCTGAACGAGCATGACAAAGTCAGCGGTACGTTACATCAGTCGAGCTAAAGGTCGGCTCCACGTACTTACCTTGTGTTTTAAGTATTCCAACTTGCTACGTTCGACGCACAGAACGTACCCCACGCGCGTTCACAAATATACAGGACCACCTTTACACCCCAATCGCACCCCAATTACCCGCTATTGATATCTTCCACCGACATCCGGACGCCGAAGGTTTCCGAACTCATCTCCAATCCGACTAATCCCTCGTCGTCCTCGGAGATGTGCTGGTGGATTGACAAGACATCCGAGCAATTCCGCATAACCTCCAGGACCTACGTAATCCCTTCCCCTTCCCACCCTTTCTACGCGAGATTCGACTGGAAAGCGTCGCCCGGGATGAAGGCACTCGTGGAGGAAGACAACGTCGACTGGGAAGCCGAACGGAAGGAGATCTATGAGTCTATGTCCGGGCACATGAAGGCGTCCTGGCTGCGCCCTCCTCCAGGCAGCGTGCTCGAGGGCGGGTACGAAGAGTCGAAGAAGTGGGTGGAGAAGGTACCGAAGTGGGACGAGGCTAAGAACGAGGAGGAGCGGGCGTTATGGGAGAAGGCATTTAGCAACTTCGCACTGATGGTCATGGAGCCCGTCAGAGTGGACTATCTCGAGATGGGCATCGTGCCGAACAGGAGAAGGGTCTATACGCGGAAGGATGACGGTCAGTGGGTCGAGGAAGTGGTTGTACCTTGAGTATCAGGACAGAGTATATCGATAACTTATCCGGTTACTAGAATTGTATTTTCTCGTAGTGAGGAGGGGATTCCATGTAGAATAATCTGTAGTATGTATTTTGTATAGCAATTTGGGTGAGCACCGACTATCCCCACAGACATGGGGATTGTACACAGAGAGCGCTCAGGTCTACGCGAGTAGTACCCAGATATGGCGGATGAAGGCATGAACATATACCTAGCAGATATTATGATCGGTAGAGCTGAACAGAGTTCTCTAGTGCATGACTTAGCATTCAATATGCGTCCCCTGAAAGAGAGCTGAGGACGGATAAGGGTAGACACCTGAACAGGTCGACGAGTAGAGTCCCGAATCACTCGTTCATTGTCAAAAGAGAGATAGACAGCCGATACAAATCCATGACAGTGCAGAAAACATCAACGTACCCAAGCACAGCAAAGCAAAATAGACGTGGAAACCAAGCGGGAGAGCCGATCGATGTCGCGATAGTGGCAGGAACGAAGACCAATGATAAAAAGTACTGAGGCAAGAATGAATAGACACAATATCCAAGCAGAACGGAATAGAGTCGACGTCGAAACGAACCGGATGGATCCGGAAAGCTAATGGATGTCGCGAGAGAGGCAAGCGCAGAGACCAACTTGAATGGGCGAAAGTACGAGTCAGTGAAGAAAAAGCTGATATCGACTTGAAGAGAGGAGAGCCGATGTGGAATCTAGAGGGTTACATTCGTACAGCTGATGGAGATGACGGGTGGGGGAGGATGAAGACTGGAGATCCAAAGGGCTGAGTCAAAGACGAGCTCTCGGTGGCGATGCCACTCCAACGGGGAGATAATGCTTTGTCTTCAAGGGTCCTCTGCGGGCTGGAGAACTTTGAGTACAGAAGGTGGGATATTGCTGAGGCTCGCTATGGCAGCTGTAGCAGTTGATCGTCCTTTAGCCTCGGCCTTGATGCCACAGACGTCCCAGAAAGCAACAGCAAAGGCGAACTTCGGATTCTGTTTCATAGCATAACCGACTTTCCACCGCCTTACTTCGTTCGCACTCGTCACTATCGAAATCCCGGCAGGAGCCTCATGGAATTGAGCCGCAATCCCATCCACGGTCTCCTGCCGGGACTTCTTGGTGGTGCCTCCGCCCTTGGATCGTTTCCCGAGGCTTTTAATGGGCGATTTTGCGAAGTCATTCCAAGAAACGTTTCTCCAAGCTTCGAGTGCGCGGTCAACATGCGCCCGCACGATGGCCATATCCGACTTTAAGACCTCCGCTCCTGGTGCGTTGGATGCTGCACGTCGGTTGGCATCGTCCCATGGCCCGATGACGTCCTCATCGCGTTCACTCAGCTTGTCTTTGTGCTGATTGTACTTGATAAGGAGTTGCTCCTTCTCCTCTTTGCCAGCGTCCATCAGTTGGCAAAGTACGCAAGGTCCGAGCTCCTTGCGTCTCCGCAGCCTTATTTTCTGGCCGAACTGTTCCATGTCGGGATCGACATCCTTCTTCATACAGTCAGGGACAGCTGCGCCGAATTGCCTGCGATCGGCCTTCACAACCTCCTCTTTGGGCCGTAGCCCAGTCTTATCCGAGTCAAGGAGGTGAGTGAACCTGAAGCTCGGATCAGCAAGTCAAATGTGCGGAACATATACACTCACATATGCGCCAAGCGTACCGTCCTCGCGTCCGCGAGGCCGTAGGTGTGCACTGTAATGTCATGATACATGGAATATATTCCGACCTTCCTGTCTGCCATGCCTTGTAGCAGAACTCTTAGCAATTCGCTATGGCATTGTGAACGACGCTGCCTCGCAATGCGATTAAGGAAGTCAGGCACTTTCTCAATATCTCGATGGAAATTCTCTGAGATGAAGTTCTCTTCGGGCACCACCAGGTCCGCGTT